ATATCCCCCGAGGTGTGACGAGAAAAGGGAAGCAGGAAATCCCAGGGCTGGAAAATTCGTAAAAACATCGTCATCGTTATGAAAACCGCCATCATCATCCTCTTCATCATCATCATCGTCGTCAATGAAATAATCACTATCATAATTTTCCTCTTCTTCTTCTTCGTCGTCGTCGTCTTCGTCGTCATCATAGTATAAGTCGGCCTTCGCTAAATACAGACTCAGCCATCTTTTAAAATTCTGAAGAGAAAACAATTATTCATATTTCTTTTTTAATTATTGCTATTAATTACAAAAACATAATAATAATAGTAATAATAATAATAATAAAAGTAATAATAATAATAATAATAATAATAATGATGATAATGATAATCATTACCGCATCTTTCAGATGATAATACCGACTGTAATCATCATGATCATCATCGTCATCATCATCATTATTATTATTATTATTATTACTATTATTATTGTTATTATTATCTCCAAGTATTTTCTTGTCGGCTTTTTTAATAGCTTTGTGCGAGTGTTTGAATGGTAAATATTTGTTGATGTTGTTGTTGTTGTTGCTGATGCTTTTGTTGATAATGCTGCTTTTGTTGTTGTTGATGTTGTTGCTAACGATGTTGTTGTTGTTGTTGATGCTGTTGTTGTTGATGCTGTTGTTGTTGATGCTGTTGTTGTTGTTGTTGATGACAATTGCTTTATTGCTGGGCGGATACAAAGACGACAAAGGAAAAATATATCCTGATGTAAGGCTATTATTGTTATTATTATTATTATTATTATTAGTAGTAGTAGTAGTAGAAGCAACCGCAGCAGCAGCAGCATAAGTAGTAGCGGTAGTAGCAGTTGTTGTTGTAGAACTATCTTTGCTATTAACGAAATTGTTGTAGTTATTAGCATTCCTAATACTAAGTCCATTATTATTCTTCTTATTATTATTATGATTATTATCATTGTTGTTGTTGTTGTTGTTGATGTTGTCGTTGTTGTTGATGTTGTTGCTGTTTATTATTTGATTTTTTGTTGATACCAATGTGTCAGCTGTCATTGGTGCTAGCGTTGTTGTTGTTGTTGTTGCAGTTGAGGTTATAGTTGCTAGTGTTAATGAAGTTGATGTTGTTGTTGTTGTTGTCGTCCATGTTAATGATGATGATGATGTTGTTGCTGCTGACGGTGACGTCATTTTGTATGACGTAATTGTTGCCGACGACGACGACGCGGTTATTTCTAACTTAGCTTCCATTATTCTTGCCTTCAACTTGGCAATGTATTTATTAACGTTGTCTTTATTTGACGATGACGACGATGTAGTAGTAGTAGTAGTAGTAGTAGCAAGAGTTGCTGCTGCTGCTGCAACGACTACACTTGACGACAATGATAACGATGATGACGACGATGTTGTCGATGTTGTTGATGATGATGTAACTGGTGCTGTTGTTGCTGATGACATTAATGTAGTAGCAGTAGTGGTAGTAGTAGTAGTAGTAGTAGTAGTAGTAGTAGTAGTAGTAGTAGTAGTAGTAGAAGTAGTAGTAGAAAAAATTGCTGATGTTGTGATGGTTAAATTTGATGATGATGATGATGATGGCGGTGGTGGTAAAATTGAGATGAGTAACTCATTCTGACTAACGCAAATATAATCATTATCATTAATTTCTGTTGTCGCCGTTGCTGATGATGTTTTTGATGTTGTTAATGATGATGAAGAAGAAGAGGTTGATGATGCTGATGATGATGGTGATGGTGGTAGTGGTGATAATGATGCTGGTTTAATTTTTTCAGGACTCAAAAATTCGTTTTTGTCAACTTTTGAAATGAGATAACGTTGTTGATGTTGTTGTTGCTGCTGTTGTTGTTGTTGCTGTTGATGTTGTTGTTGATGTTGTTGTTGATGTTGTTGCTGTTGTTGTTCGCAATTGTTGATTATCCGAATCTTCTCATATCTTTTCTCCTTCTTCTCAAACGATTTCAGCTTTTTTCTCAAAACCAGTACCTCTTTAAAACCATCATCAGTGGCACAATCATCATCATCATCATCATCACGTGTTTCTTTGATGGTATCATCATCATCGTCGTCGTCGTCATCATCATCATCATTTGTTAGAAGATCACTACCATAACTAGCCGTAGCGTTATCATCATATGTAGCTTTATTGTTTAGTTTGCGTATGTTGTTGATGTTGTTGTTGTTGGCACCGTTAGAGGCGTTATTTTTGTTGTTTTTAATGCCTTTGGTGACGATTTTATCCTTTTCCGGGAGGCCATTTTTGCTTTTGTGGACGTCATCGTCGTCGTCGAATCTGTGGAATTTGGCCTTCGTATTTTCCGACATTGCCAGTGCAACTAAAAGTGAATTTGTTGAAAGCCACGGTGACAATTTAGGGAGTTGTTGTTGTTGTTGTTTTTGATGTAGTTGTTGTTGATGTTGTTGTTGATGATGTAGTTGTTGTTTTTGATGCAGTTGTTGTTGTTGATGTTGCTGATGCTGTTGTTGTTGATGTAGTTGTTGTTGAAGATGCTGCTGTTGTTGTTGTTTTGACACAATCGGAGGAAGATGCATATAATTCTTTTGTTGTTGTTGTTGCTGTTGTTTATGTTGTTGCAACATTTTCTTATCATCATTTGGCAGTTGACGGTTAGTCGGCTCAGATTTCAACAGCTGAAATTTGATTGGATTAATTGGTTGGTTGATTGATTGATTGGTTGATTGATTGAAACTACAATTATAGCAGCAACAATTTCATCATCATCATTGTCATCATCATTACTAACTTTCTTCTCCTTATTATGTTTCATCTTACTCTTAATCATCATCATTTTGTCTTTCATCTGTCCGTTTTCAATCAGTCGTTCAAACTCAGTTCTACGACTACTACTACTACTACTATTATTATTGATATTGTTGGCCACTTCCGGTTTTCGTTTTTCACGGCTGTGATTAGTTGGTCGGTTGATTGATTGATTGATGGATGGAATAATTAACTGATTAATTAATTGATTGACTGATTGAAAGATCAATTTGTTGACTGATTAGTTGGTTAATTAATTGATAGTAAAGGTTGATAGTTGGTTAGCTAGTCGATTGAATAATTAGATAGATAGATAAATTGATTGATTGATTGATTGACAATATTAAAAAAACTCTTTATTAAGTGAACAAACCAACCAACCATCCAACCAACCAAACAATCAACTAACCAATCAATCAACCAACCAACCAACCAATCAACCAACCAACCAACCAACCAACCATCCAACCAACCATCCAACCAACCAACCAACCAACCAACCAACCGACCTGGTCCCAAAACAACCAGCTTCAACCCCGCCATCATATCCCTCATCAAAAATCCTATACAAGTTATACTGATTGCCCTGCTTGCAAACGATCACAGTCATCGGTCGTGTCTCTAGGCCCACTGAGGTACTAGAAGAGGACGGTGAGGGCGCAGAAGATGAGGGGGTTGAGGTTGTCCCGCCCCTTGAAGCCCCCTTTGCGTCTATCTCCGCCAGGTATTCCACCACTTCTTGAATTGTTGGTGGTTCGTTTATCTGAACTGTCGTTGTTTGTGTTGTTGTTCATGTTGTTGTTTGTGTGCGTGTGTGTCTTTAAGTATGTATTTGTGTGTGTGTGTGTGTGTTTAAATATTTGTATGTATTTGTGTGTGTGCGTGTTCAAATAAAAAAAAAAACAAAAAAAAATTAGAGAAAAAAAACTTCAACAACGACAGAACATTGTAATCATCAATTCAATCATCACCATAACCATCATCATCATTACCATCATAATCATCATCATCATCATCATCATTCCCTAATTTCCCTAACTTCTTTTAGTGTTGATTGGACCCCCTCTCATACGCAGAACGAGTTTGATGTTGGCGCCACTTTTTATATTGTATTGATGTAACGATTTGTCGTTCGCTAGCTCTGTCGTCTGCCATACTAGATGCTGATGGCTGATTGGGATTCCTAAAATTAGAGGATGGATGGATGGTAATAGTAGTAGTAGAAGTAATAGTAGTAGGAGTAGTAGTAGTAGTGGTAGTAGTAGTA